GTGACAGATGTCAATGATTCGAGTGCTGATTCGATTTCGTGCTTTCTACCTCATCAAGGTGTCTTGCGCGAAGATAGTCTCACGACAAAATTACGTATAGTATTTGATGCGTCAGCAGTAACGTCATCGGGATACTCATTAAACAGCTTACAAATGGTAGGTCCCACGATACAAGAGGATCTTCTGTCGATTTTGTTACGCTTCAGAAAACACGTATTTGTCATTTCGGGCGACATTGCCAAAATGTATCGCCAAGTTCTAATCGAAAAATCTCAACGGCCATTGCAACGAATAATTTGGCGGGAAAATCCAAATTCCGATTTATCAATATACGAACTAAACACGGTTACCTACGGTATGACCGCGGCCGCGTTTTTAGCGATACGATGCCTTCATCAATTGGCTCTCGACATAGAAAAAAACAAACCGAACATAGCAAAAATCATCAAGAGAGACTTCTATGTAGATGATCTGCTATCCGGAGCAGATACAGTCTATGAAGCTTCACAAATATGCAAAGAGGTATCTGACGTGCTATTAACTGGCGGTTTTGAACTGCGCAAATTTTACTCAAACAATCCGGATGTGCTAAAACACGTACAAGGTGACAATTCCGCAATGAAATGTGTACAATTCGGAGTAAACGAAAAGGCAAAGACTTTAGGTCTTATTTGGGATTGTCAAACGGACAATTTAACTTACACTATAAACAATTGTTCAGATAATCAGACAGTTACAAAACGCACAATTTTGTCTAACATTGCTCAAGTTTTTGACCCGTTAGGTATACTAAGTCCGTGCACTATAACGGCAAAGATTATTTTGCAAAAATTGTGGCTTCTGAAAACAACGTGGGATGAAGCGATACCCGCGGATTTACACACAACTTGGTCAAAACTTAGGAGCCAATTCCCTCAGCTAGGTAATTTAAAAATTAAACGTCATGTCACATGTAGTAATCCAGCAAATATCCAACTTCATTGTTTTTCCGACGCTTCGGAGAGTGCATATGGAGGCGCAATTTATGTTCGATCCGTAGATCAAAAAGGCAGCGTATCGGTGCATCTTTTATGCGCAAAAACGAGAGTCGCACCATTAAAAACAGTAACCCTACCACGATTAGAGCTATGCGGCGCTCTCACGGTCGCAAGGTTAGCTAGAAAAGTTTTGTTATCATGGGAAATCAAATTTCATAAAATTATATTTTGGACTGACTCTACTATTGTGTTAGGTTGGTTGAAAATGGCTCCAAATTCATTAAAGCCCTTTGTAAGTAACAGAGCGGCGGAAATACAAGAAATCACGAATTCACAGGAATGGCGTCATATATCAAGTAAAGATAATCCGTCAGACTTATTAACCAGAGGCGTAAACCCTAGTCAATTAAAAGGCTTGCGTATGTGGTGGCACGGGCCAAAATGGCTAGCAGAGAATGAATCGAATTGGCCAAATTCAAACTTAAAAATTGTAGACTTACCGGACAAGAAAGTGAACAAGGACGCTTGCATGATAACGATAGAAACGAGCGAATTCCCGTTCCAAAAGTTCTCAAATATTCATAAACTCAAAAGAGTGGTCGCGTATTTAATTAGGTTTAAAAACAATTGTAAAAAACAACAAGGTCTGCGAGAAAATGGCCCACTGTCGGTAAAAGAAATTGACTTCGCATTCAATCGTTTAATAAGAATTTCGCAACAGCAATCATTCCCTATTGAATACAGCAATCTCCTCAATCAGAAAGAAATTAGCAACAAAAGTCGGTTATTAAGCTTAAGCCCATTTATTGACTCCGAAGGCATCATGCGCGTAGGAGGGCGACTTCAAAAATCAAAATTTACATTTCAGAAAAAACATCCTATACTAATTTGTTCTAAGCATCACTTGACTAAAATTCTTTTTATTAGTGAACACCTTAGACTATTACACGCGGGACCTCAATTAATTTTAGCATCATTAAGAGAAAGATTCTGGCCAATCATGGGTCGTAATCTAGCTAAAAAAACCGTGCGCCAGTGCGTAACATGCTTTCGTCTTAACTCACACACAATACAGCCTAAAATGGGACAGCTACCCAAAGAACGTCTAATACCGGGTCCTCCGTTTGACAAAACCGGTGTTGATTACGCCGGGCCTTTTACAATAAAAGATAAGAAGGGACGTGGGGCTAAGCATAGCAAGTGTTATATTTGTCTATTCGTATGCTTTGCCACCAAGGCCGTACATCTAGAACTCGTAACAGAGCTTAGTAAAGATGCCTTTATTTTGGCTTTGAAGCGATTCGTGTCACGAAGAGGCCGACCTACCCAAATATTTTCTGATAACGGTACAAATTTCGTGTCTGCTGCGTCAGAACTTAAGTTATTAGGAAAATTTTTAGCTAAACATGAACGTAGTATAACCGAATCCGCGTCATTAGAAAACATCGATTGGAAATTTATTCCTCCCCATTCTCCGCATTTCGGTGGCTTATGGGAAGCCGGTGTCAAATCGAGCAAGCATCATTTAAGACGGGTGTTAGGCAAAACAAGTCTCACCTTTGAAGAACTTTATACGCTGATCGTTCAGGTTGAGGCAGTCTTGAACTCGAGACCCTTGTTTCCCATGTCAAACGATCCTAATGATCTACATCCCATCACTCCGGCTCACTTTCTTATAAGCAGGCCATGTACCACGTTGCCTGAACCTGACTTGAGAGAAGTTCCCGTAAATAGATTAAGCCGTTTTCAATTAATAAGCAAACTGAGACGAGATTTCTGGGTCCGTTGGCAGAAAGAGTATCTCAGCGAGTTACAGCAACGAACCCGTTGGAAGAAAAACTGTGGCAGTCTGCGCTGTGGTTCATTAGTACTAATCAAAGACGACAATCTTCCTCCGCAAAAATGGAAACTAGGACGTATTGTGACGCTACATCCAGGATCAGACAACATAGCCAGAGTTGCAACCATCCGCACTTCTGGTGGCGACGTCAAGAGAAGTTTCTCAAAAATCTGCCCTTTGCCTATCAGTGACAGTCATTACTAAGTTCGTGGTGTTTACTGTTGAAAGCACGCACTTTCAAGGGGGGGTGTATGTTGGGATTTCTTAGTTAAAAAACAAAAGTGCGTGGCACCCTTTATTTGTGGTTCGTGTGTGGACAAACAGATGGCGCGAGGTGTGCATAAGTGTGTGAAAAGGGAGAACGAACATGAAAAAAGGGAGTGTGTTACAGTCCACGATAGAGCACACATGTTTTGCAAAAAGTTGTAAAGTAAAAAATAAAGCATTATACCAGCCCAATTTTCAAGTGTCATTAATTTCAAAACAGTGGGTTTGGTGAAATTTTTAACAGTTGTGTCTTAAAATCAAAAAAAGTTTAGTATCTAGTACAAAATTTTTGATGGTTAAAAAAAAAGAAGTAAAACATCACCCATTAAAATAACTGGATTTATTTCGGTAATGTTAGAATACAGACTGATTATACCTATAAACACATAAATACAATAATTATTCTGAAGCCTAGAAAGAAAAATTAAATTAGATATAGTATAGCGATACATAACAACTTTGTACTTACTGTGGGGTCGCAATCGGCACAGTGCCAAGAATATCCTCTCCGTTTTGGGGTTTTCTTCACTGGAGGATCTAAACAGGTGAAATGGTAATTCTTCTGGCATTCGTCGCATCTAAGATAAAAAAAATTATATAAAAAAATAAATTTTACCTTTATATCATTTAGGAAATTTAAAAAACGGGTTGATACAAGGTGATTTATTTGAATATAGAATAGAAAATTAAAATGATAACTATCCCCTCATAGAAATTCACAAATTTAAAAAGAAATGCAATAAAATAAATACATATATGAGGGACACCTATGTGTTGCTAATGGGTATTTGCTTAATCTCATGTTGATTGTGGAAAGAGGCATAAGCACTAAAAGTGCTATTTGAGTAATTTTTAAGGAAAGCAATAAAAAGAAGTGTCATTGAAAGTGACTTTTGTAGTATGTATGATGGATATCGTAGTACTAAATTATGTACCAATATAGGTGAATACAGGGTGATTCACAACTTATCCAAAAAAATTTGGAAATATATGCAGCATGAGAAATGGAGTCAATATCGTAAAAAATTTTGTATAAAATCATAGTTTTCGAGAAAAAAATTATTGAGGTTGTACTTTCAAGCATTACATCGCTGGACAACTAGTGTCTAGTGTTATTCGCAATACCCGGAGCCATGTGGCCTCACCGACTCCGAATACTGAAATCCGATTTTACAATCGTCCTTGCGATAGTGTTTACAATAGTATTTTAGTAGTTAGTGTCAAAAAAGCAACTGGGAGTTGATGGATATCGTTTTAATTTATGGTGAAGCGGGACATTTGTATTATGGTGAAACGTTTGTGTTAGGACAACATTTGTGTCAGTTCGTAGTAACTGAGTAAAGACGGGCCCAAATGTGTTTACACGTTAGTGGACAAAATTTTGAACAGTTGTAGCATAAGGTATGTCAAATTATTTTATTAATTAAACCACAAATTAATTAATTATCTTAATTAATAAAAACAATAGCAGCAAAATCAGTTGAATTGATGATATAAAAATGACATTTTTTCATTCATGGGAACTTTAGCTCAAAAATTATATACCGATGGTTATGAAAATTGAAAGTATGTCTCTTTATGAAACTACAAAGAATATGAACCAACAATTGAAATGATAACATAATTTTAAGAGTTATTTATTCAAAATAAGTGAAAAAAAATGGTGAAAATCAATATCGTAAAGTGAGTATACCTTGCTCCTTTGGGGGTTATTTTGCACCATAGTTGTAAAACTGTTCAAATTCAAATATTCCACAGTTTTACTATTTGGGAGCAAAATTTCAGTGCTGGGCAACAGGTGGCACCACTATGCATTTCTGGTACAAACCCAAACTGTTTTGGACCATTAGTAGTGATACGAATAATCGAATGAATTAAATAATGGAGAGGTTACTGTTCGAATTAATTTTATAATCGAATTATCATTCGAATGATACCTATATAATCGAAAGTCCACTTCGAAAATTTCGGACCTATTCCAAATTATATGCGAAAGATGTCGATGCTAGGTAAATGAATGACTTTCGCGGATTGTGGCATTTCTTCGTTGTCAGTTGAGTGGTTCAGCAGCATGTGTTTAAAATGAGTAGTTGCCGCCTAAAGAGATCCATTGTTTGAGTTTTTGAAAAAAAAAATTATATAGAAAACATATTTTTTGTATTATTTTCATTCATATGAATTTCTATCCTCGCTAAATAAAGCTCCCTTGTAAACCGCCCTTCAAAACCGCGCGATGCAACTCATAAAATTACTGCATATCTTTTTTATGCGGTGATATTCGATTGTCTCATCCATCCTCTCGGCCGTCTTATCTCGAGGTTCTGTAGCTCGTTAGAGCATTGGAACATTTGAAACACCTGCGCTCTCGCTTGAGCAGTGCGTTTGCGTTATTCGGTGACGAGTGACGATTGACGTTAGTAACGCTGTGGCCACTGTCATTCGTCTCCGAATAATCGAATGAATTTACATGATCACTCGAGATATCTCGAGAGATTTTCATAATCGATA